ATTTCTTTTTCACCTTGGTGGATTTGAACATGAGTTGTGCCGGATAGTTGAGAAAAGCCAGAGAGCCTTTGGTAAGTCCATTTGAACCCATGAGCACAGCAGAGAGCTTTACATAAGTCTTCCATGGGTTCACCATTTGCTTTGGAGTGAAGCCTTGCAAGTAAATCAAGAATATATACACCCATCCTTGAACGAACGTGAAGTACCATCCATAGCTACAAGAAGTAAACCAACGAAAGATTCGATCAGATAAAAATTATAAAACTCATGATGTCCTATCCCATTTTCGAAAAGACAAGATGTAACCTCACCTGAATTGGAGCATGTTGTACACATGTTCCTGAATTTTGAGCAAAATAAGTCAAAATACAGATCCACATAAGATAGAAAATGCAGTAGAATTTCGTTAGAATTGCTTTGCAAAGGAAATAATTTCTCAAAGCCCGAAATGTTAATTCTATCAGCAAAAGAAAATTAACAATTATTAGTATAAGTTTTTTTGGAAAATAGAGCAAAATGATAGCCAATAACTTATTAATTGAAAAGAAGAAAAATGGGGTCCCGGTAGAATCATATCAATTTGACAGAAATTTCACAAAAAATAAAAAAAATGAAGAAGATGATGATGAGGTAAGCATCAAAATGACCAATTTTATCAATTATCAGTATTAACAAAACTGTATAAGGTAAGCATAAAATTTACTAAATTGAATCAAATATTACAATTTACTACAGTTAATATACCCAATAGAAATTGAAATCTTCTCAGCCAGAACTCATAGACATGCAAACAGAATTATTTTTACCCAAATGAGAAGACAAAATTCCATAGCCGCCTTCAATTATTTTTCCACCAAACCAAGTCTTTTTCCCTCCATATTCCAATGAATCTTTTCAATTTTTGAAAATCAAACAAATGTCACGCACTAAAACACCATCAAAGAAAATCATTTTTTCTTGAATTCTCAAATTTATATACCTCACAGATGCCATTGACAACATAACCAAAGAAGAACCCAGAAGAGCAAATGAGGAATTGTTTCCATCTGGGCCTCTCAGAGAAAGAAATCCCAAACAGAGTCCGTGCTTGATCTTCATTCTTCATCTTCACTTCACCGCTAGTTTTGTTGTGAAAAAACTGTGTACTGGTAGGCAGAAGATAAATGGACACAAGGTGGATTTATTGCTACTTTACGGAATCAGTTAAATTTAACAGTGGAACTGGTGGCGGAAGTTCCTTTACTGGTGATTTGTAGATTGGAACTTGTGGGGGAAGTAGCTTTACTGGTGTGGAGGAACTGATGAAGTTTCTTGTTTTCTTCACTTCCTTGCACAGTAACAGCTAAAGAGTTTGTCCCAGAAATTCTATAAATGAAGCACAAGAAATTTTGCCTATAAGTAAATGGGCCAACAAACGTTTCATATGCTTCTTGGACCTGTCAATTAATGGGCTGAAAGTTGGAAAGTAACCAGTTAAACCGGTCAATGAACAGTTTTTTACCTGTTTAACGAAAACAATAAAACTAACGGTGAAAAAAGATTTTCCGTTAAAACAACCAATTCCGTTAGATGCAATGCATCAATTTCCAACCGAAAAGTTATGTTTCGATGNGAAAACAATAAAACTAACGGTGAAAAAAAGATTTTCCGTTAAAAACAAGAAATTCCGTTAGATTTTTCCGTTAAAACAAGAAATTTCGTTTCATATCATAACCACTTTATATATAGAAGAGATATTTCTAATAATGAAAGTAAGTATTAGAAATTATTTCGGATTTTTTAAGGCATATTTTGAATTTTTGGTATAGTTCGATATAGTTTGAGACAATCTCAGTGACATTGATATTTCAGACAAGACATGAAAAAAAAGGATAAACATATAAGGAATCAAATGGTATAAGTTTTCGTAATCTTTCGATCACGGAAAGATGATTAAAAGTTAATTTTAAGGTATTTTTCGCTATTCGAGATTTACGTAACTAATGGACTATTTAACATAATTATTTTAGTAAGATGAGGGGTTGGGTTTCAACA